TGAAGAATCTTAAGTTCAGAGAGTTTAAATGAATTAACAAAGATCATACAAGTAGTAAGAGATGTTACTGGGAATATAATGTTTTAATCTTAGAACAATGTTCTCTATACATTACATTAAAAAAATTTCAATGCTGAACAGTGCAGACCTGTAAAAAATATTTACTGAACCAATTTATAATTGTTGCCACTCCTGAGAAAATTATTCTATAAAGAGTTACTTGGTAGACCTTTGACTGACAAAATAGGCCAGTTACTGTTCTAAGCTTTGTACATGTATTAACTCTTTTCATCTTCCGAATAACACCATGAGATAGGTACTGTTGTTGTTATTATTATTATTTTATAAAGTAATCTGAGGCACAGAGAAATTAGGCCCAGGCAAGATTTAAACCTTGGAATGCTGTCTCCAGAGTTCTTTATGTTATAAAGCCTCACTTATAAATTCATAATTTCTTAACCTTATTAAAGTTTTAACTCAAACAAGAATCTAAAAAATTGCAGGACAGAAACTTAAAAATAGGTCACATACAAGTACACACACATATATAAAATATATACACATACTATGTAGATCAGATACAAAAGTATGTCAGGGCTTTAAAATGAAATACAGAGGGATCTATGGAACAATATTCCCTTCTGTTACTTATATAATGGCAGCATTCTTGTTACATAAATATGCACAGTATAAAGACAATATTAGATAAAATCAAACTTTCCATAGTCTACAGCAGCTTCATAATTTTAGGTGCTGAAACAAAGCTAATAAAGGTCAGGCTATAAGTTTAGTTAAACTACTTAATTGACACCAAAGCTACAAAACAGTGGTGCTGAAATCAGTTGGGAGGCAATTATCTGCTACAATGAGAGCAAATAAATGGTGATGAGAAATAAGAATTGTTAAAAAAAAATCCAAACACACTTATACTTTGTTGTAAAAACTGTGATTTATAAAACTTAAGAGTATTTTATCAGATCAGTTCTTTTCTTAAATTTCTTTCCCACAGTTCAACTCTCCTCACAGAAGAATTCAATTAACGATGGCATACTATTTTATCAGTGGGCCTAAGAACAAGTTGGCATATTTTCCTGTTTTCTGAGATTGACTTTCATTATATCTGGAGAAACAAAAGTAAAATTAGAAGCCCGCTATAATATGAATCATTATATCATGCAGTCAGAAATAATACAAAAGAAAAGTCCTCAAAGCCTTTTTTACATCCAGCAAAAGCTCTAAGTTACATAATTAATCCGTCCACTGAAAAACTGGTTGCAATGAAAGTGAAATCCTGTTAACTTACACAGATTAGTACCAGAAATGCAACAAAAATTGGATCTTTGTTTAAAATTATAGTTTTGACTCAGAAATGCACAGTGGCTTTGAAACATAAACCTAAATAAATGAAAATGTATCTCTGATATACATCAAGAAAACCTGTTTAATTTCACATATATAAAAACAGACTCACAATTTCTTAACCTTATTGATATTTTGGCTCAAGTAAGAAACTAAAAAATTTCAGAACAGAAACCCAAAAAGGAAGATTAAAATATAAATAATTAAATAATATATAATTAAATAAATATATAATAAAATAGATGAATGATTAATAGTGGAAAAATCAAATTTTATCCTATAGTTTCAAAGCTCTTCCCCACCAAAACTGTTCCAAAGCTCTAACCAAGTAGCTACACTGACTAATTTGTTTTACTTTCTCTGTCCAATTACTTTCCATGGAAACATCTATAACATGTGCCACAGCACAAACATAGATGTAACTTCAAAAAATTGTTGTGAAAATTCAGTAAGTCAATATTCATTAAGTATTTACCACCCTGTATGACACACAGCAAATAATCAATAAATGGTAGTCTTATCAAGAACTGTTAATAGCACCTTTCCTTTGCACAGCATTTCTTCATAGTAACTTCTTAAACTATACAAAAGTCTTAATAGTTTACAGAATTCACACTGATTTCCAATATTCCTGGATGTCTGTAAAATTTGACTTAAAACACAGAAAAGGGCGCCTGGGTGGCTCAGTTGGTTAAGCGACTGCCTTCGGCTCAGGTCATGATCCTGGAGTCCCTGGATCGAGTCCCGCATCCGGCTCCCTGCTCAGCAGGGAGTCTGCTTCTCCCTCTGACCCTCCCCCCTCTCATGTGCTCTCTCTTTCTCTCAAATAAATAAATAAAATCTTAAAAAAAAAAAACACACACACACACACACAGAAAAAACTATGGTCGTTCATCCAGCCAATTAATATCTTACCTCTGACTGTGGAAATAAAAGATGTTGTCAGGGCAATTGTGTTTATAAGTCCAGCTCAAACAATTAATGTTTCACAAATATTCCTATAATCAATTAATTTAACTAAACTTTTTAAAAAGTATTGATATTTTAATTTGTTTTACCTGAATCTGGTATTTTCAATGTATTCTTAATTACAGCTTTTCAACTTTCAAAGGTGTACTATCTTTTTTTTAAGATTTTATTTATTTAATTGACAGAGAGAGAGGCACAGCAAGGGAGGAAACACAGGCAAGGGGAGTGGGAGAGGGAGAAGCAGGCTTCCCGCTGAGCAGGGAGCCTGATGCAGGGCTTGATCTCAGGATCCTGGGATCATGACCCAAGTGGAAGGCAGTCGCTTAACCAACTGAGCCATCCAGGCGCCCCTCAAAGGTATACTATTAAACACATAGTGTATTCCACTATTCTGGAATTTCATTTAAAAATTTTTATCCTATCTCTACTTATGGCTAAATATAAAAGGGTTTTCTAGTCAATACACAATTCCTGTAATTCCCTGGATTACTGGAATTCAAGAATAAGTTTTTTTAAATTTGCTTTGTAAAAGAAATAAATAGAATATACATTAAACGAATGAGATATGTCTTCCACAAAATAACCTTAAAAGATAATTAGTAGGATACATGATGTCGATAAGGTCCCATTTCCTAAATAACCACCATGGAGGATAATGCATCCAACAAGTCTTTATCAAAGAAATTAAATGTAACAGATACAAAATAAATTGCAATCTTTATTAACATAGTGATCTACGGAGCCCTGAGAAAAGGGGTCAAAATGAAGACTCATTTTGCTTTGTTCTGAGAAAGGCTGGCTTAAGTATCCACAACCCTTGAAAAGTATTCTCTGTGGAGAAAAGGAGTAATTCTTAAGCTTCTACCATAACTTTGATGATGACATATCATTGAAGACTTTCCAAGTTCCTTTTCTTTGATTTCATGATTACCACACAACCTCCACTTCCCAAGTTCTTCAATACAGTAAAGAGTGCACTGGATTTTTCAACCTGAAAATTCTAATCACTGGAAAGGGTTTTCTATTCCAACATAAACTGGCATTCTAAATATGTACATTCTAATGTGTACCTCATTCTCTTACTTTTGTTTAGTTTGAATTGGGTTCCTGAAGCCTGAGTATATATGAGTAAAAATATAAATATGAGTTTCTTACACTGGAAATATGAGAACCAGACAGACATTCCTTTTTACTAATGACTGCTACAATAACCTCTTGGTTTTCACCCCCCGCCCTTAACACTATCCCTACATTTTTTTTAAAATGAAAAAAAGGGGGGGGAGTGGTCTACTGAAATAAAGTTAAACCAAATTAGGCAGATTCATTTAAACACCAAAATGACTAATTAAAATCAAAACAACCTAGAACTGAAACCAAAACATAAGGATGTTTACATAAGCCTCATTTACATTTACTCTACTTCCGAAAGACAAAAAAGAAACCTATGATACTCAAATTGTGCTTTAAGACAACGAACAGAAATTATGTTTGAACTTGCATTACCTAGCACCGTTATTTATAAAGTGGTTTGGCATATGTAACTCAATTATCCTTAGACTTCACTTGCATTTAAACTGCATGAATCGGAGACTTTAAATAATAACTCTGCCTTTTCTCAGTGGGTCATTTTAAAATAATTGTGTTATTCCTTCAAGGGTTTATTTTTTTTAAAGATTTTATTTATTTATTTGAGAGAGAGAATGAGATAGAGAGAGAATGAGAAGGGGGAGGGGTCCAAGGGAGAAGCAGACTCACTGCCGAGCAGGGAGCCCGATGCGGGACTCGATCCCGAGACTCCAGGATCATGACCTGAGCCGAAGGCAGTCGCTTAACCAACTGAGACACCCAGGCGCCCTGTATTATTCCTTCAAAAAATACCTCTTCCACACTTCAAAGAATTCAGCCTCACACCAGGCACTCCAGCTCTTCAATTGTGTCCGCTTAAGTTTCATCTACAAAAGGGAGAGGACGCTCACCAATTCACACTTCGCCTAAAACAAAGAGACGTCCATTATTAGCCCTAAATATACAGGGCAGAATTCTCTTAGGTCCATGATGCCAAGAACTTCAACTGCAAGTGAAATTGTCTTTGCAATCTCGGTTTCCAGGAGACTGAAAGGCTGCAGACACGCGAAAGGATCCTGCAGGGAGGTTGGGGTGGCAAAGGGTGAGGGAGGAGGGAAGGAGTAAGTCTCAGAGAGGAACTGCATTAGGAGACTTTGAGAACGTATAAGGGAGAGGTGGTGAGATACAGGGAAAAATAGATTACGTTTTCAAAGAGAATTTAAAGTGATGAAAGTAAGGAAAGATGAAAGAAAATGATTAACCTTCCACGACCGGAGGGTAAGCGAAGTAGGAAAAGGGAAGGGGGGGGAGGCGGAGAGTGTAAGGGCCCCAAAGACCAGAATTTGAAAAAAAGTACGCGAGCTATGAGCTTGGCCTTGGTCCGAATCTCCAGTCAGGGTACGCGGACCGCAGAAGGAAAGGATCGCACTTACTCAGGGCTGTAGAAAGCAACGCATTTACAACGGTAACAAACCCTGCACAAGAAGATGTCGCCTCTCTCCCTGCTAGCTCCCGTTCATTTCTTTACCTCTTACTGCAGCACCAGCGTCACTCCGGCAAAACTCTGCCAAAGCCTGCGCCGCAGGAGAACAGCAAAAGGAAAATACCTGAGTCCCAGGAATCACTCCGGCAACGACAGGAGGAGTCGTGGACCACTGGAGTCGGGGCAGGATACTCACTCGTCTCCAGTCAAACCCCAATCTTTTCGGGTGGGGCGGAGATCTTCCGCTCGGAGCGGAAACGTCACTTCCGCCTAGTGCCTTCACCCTTCTTTGCCTTCTGTGCTCTAGATACGTTCTCTACTTTCGTAACGTTCTCACTTCCTTTTCAAGGAGCCTGCAGCCTGTTCGTAACACTTGACGTGGACTACATGACCCAGCATTCACCACGACACATTGATTTCCGGGTCAGGAGGTTCGCTCTGGGTAGATTACCATGGAAGCCATCGGTTTGGTCACGTGGTGCCCTGGTTACGCCCGGTGGCTGCTGTGGGGTCTGGCGCTCTGGCAGGGGCCATTTTGCCGAAGGCAGCCCGCCGGGGGCGACTTGGCAGCTAACTGAAGCTGTTCCTTTTCTTCCTCTGCAGCTTGGGGCTTGGAGAGGAACTGGAAGGCTGGGCTCCATTGAGCCCTTCAGAGACGATGGTTTCCTCCAGCCTTTGCCACCTGACGACCCTCCATGGCGGCTGTGCCCTCTGCGCTGCGCCTGCTGCCGCAACTTCCAGCCCTCTGTGCCTATCGGCTCCAGAGCTGCAATCGTCCTTCCGCCCCAGAGACTGATGATAATCGAGGTGGGGGCACCATGAGAGGCGAGAAAAACTATTGCCGTGGAGCTGCCGGAGACCACAGTTCCTGCCCGCCGACACCTTCGCCTCTGGCCTCGACCCTCATGATGCCCGCGGAGGCAATCACAAGTAGTTGGTCTGGGTCTGGAGGTGGTTTGTCAGGAGAAGATGAAGAGGAGACTCGGCTTCTTCAACTCCTCCGGACCGCGCCAGATCCTTCCGAGGCCTTTCAGGCTTTGCAGGCTGCTTTGCCGCGGCGGAGCGGTAGACTCGGCTTCCCCCGACGGAGGGAAGCATTGTATCGGGCCCTGGGCCGAGTGCTTGTGGAAGGAGGTAGTGATGAGAAGCGACTCTGCTTGCATCTCCTCTCGGACGTTCTCCGGGGTCAGGGGGAGGCAGGCCAGCTGGAAGAGGCCTTTAGCTTAGCACTTCTGCCTCAACTAGTTGTCTCCTTACGAGAAGAGAATCCAGCCCTACGGAAAGATGCACTACAGATCCTACATATATGTCTGAAACGTAGTTCTGGACAGGTGCTGAGAACACTTATACAGAAAGGACTGGAAAGTACAGATGCCCGGCTTCGAGCTGCCACAGCACTGCTGTTCCCTATCTTGCTTACTCCTGAGGATTTGTTGTTCAGCCTAGATCTCACCGAGGTAATAATATCCCTAGCCAGAAAGCTTGGCGATCAGGAGGTAGAAGAAGAATCTGAGACTGCTTTCTCTGCACTTCAGCAAATTGGGGAACGACTTGGCCCAGAGAGATTTCAGTCCTATATCTCTCGCTTGCCATCTGCCCTGAGGAGACACTACAATCGCCGCCTGGAGTCCCAATTTGGAAGTCACGTTCCTTATTATTTGGAACTGGAAGCCTCTGGATTTCCTGAAGATCCTCTCCCCTGTGCAGTGACTCTTTCTAACAGCAATCTTAAATTTGGGATTATTCCTCAAGAGCTGCATTCAAGATTGTTAGATCAGGAAGACTATAAGAACCGGACTCAGGCCGTTGAGGAATTAAAACAGGTGATGGGAGGATTTAATCCTAGTTCTACCCCTCATTCCAGTCTTGTCGGTTTCATTAGCTTGCTCTATAATCTGTTAGATGATTCTAACTTCAAAGTGGTTCATGGCACACTTCAGGTCCTGCATTTACTGGTTATTCGCCTTGGAGAGCAGGTACAACAGTTCTTGGGACCAGTTATAGCAGCTTCTGTCAAAGTGTTGGCAGACAACAAATTGGTAATCAAACAAGAATACATGAAAATTTTCCTCAAGCTAATGAAGGAAGTAGGTCCTCAACGGGTGCTTTGTTTACTTCTGGAACATCTCAAACATAAGCATTCCAGAGTGAGAGAGGAGGTAGTGAACATTTGCATCTGCTCCCTCCTGACCTATCCCAGCGAGGATTTTGACTTACCCAAACTGTCTTTTAATCTTGCCCCAGCTCTTGTAGATAGCAAACGCAGGGTACGCCAAGCAGCTCTTGAAGCCTTTGCTGTGTTGGCATCGTCCATGGGCTCAGGTAAAACCAGTATCCTTTTCAAAGCTGTGGATACTGTTGAACTGCAAGATAATGGAGATGGAGTGATGAGTGCTGTGCAGGCCAGATTGGCTAGAAAAACCCTCCCAAGGTTAACAGAACAGGGATTTGTGGAATATGCAATACCTATGCCATCATCTGCCCAGGGTAGGTCAAGCCATCTGGCACATGGAGCAGATACAGACTGGCTCTTGGCTGGTAACAGAACTCAGAGTGCACACTGTCACTGTGGAGACCACACAAGGGACAGCATGCAAATTTATGGATCTTACAGTCCAACTATCTGTACCCGAAGGGTATTAAGTGCAGGAAAAGGAAAAAATAAATTACCATGGGAAAATGAGCAGCCTGGAGAAAACCAGACCTCCAATTCCAAGGACATAGAACAGGTATGCATCTTTTCTGATTGCCTTGAATTGAAACTAGAAAGAATTTAAAATGAAAATTGGCCTGTAATGACTTAAGGGTGAGGCTGCTTTGGGATTGTTATGCTTTGTTTTTAATTTGGTTTGAATGGTGATGTGGATATCTATTATAATGGTACAGATCATGTAGGAACATTTAATAGGCTTATTGCTTGATGGATTTCATTGAATTTGAGGTACAATATGATAGTAACAATAACTGGATTTCAGTTTTGGCCCGTCAATTTGGCATATTGGTTATCTCATCCATACAACAAACTCTGAATATTTAGTACATGTCAGATAAAGAGCTAAGTTCTAGTAATGAAGATGAGGCTGGTTCTATGTTTAGGGAGAAGGTCAGACCTGTAAATGGACATTATCAAATTTGTTAAGGGTTGAATTACAAATATAGTCTGTGGGAATATGAAAAAAGAAAAAATAATTTCACTAGATAAGTTTAAAAAGCCTTCTAAGAAGTGTGACATCTGATTTCCCCGCAAAGTTTTTATTTTGAAAATTGCAAATCTATAGATGACTTAAAAGAATTATACAATGAATATCCATCTACTACTACTATATTTACCAGATGTCATCTTGCCATATATGCTTCATATTTACTGGACCATTTGAAGGCAAGTGCAGATATCTTGATATTTCCTTCCTAAATATTTCCACATTTATCTTCTAAGAATTGCTTTTCCTTTATCACATTAACACATCTCAGAAAATCAGTAATTATTCAGTAATATCTAATATATAGTCTGTATTTAAATTTCTCCAATTGTCCCTTAAAAAATGTTTTATAGTATTTGTTTTACTTTTATCATCCAGGTTCCAATCAAGGTTCATGTAGTTAATATGTCTTTTATCTAGAACAATATGCCTACTTGTTTGTTTCTTTGTTTTTTTTCATGATATTGACTTATTTGAAGAATTTGGGGTAGTTGTTTTGTAGAATTTTCTACATTTCTTAATTTTATCTGATTGTTTCTTTTTGATTACATTCAAGATAAACAGTTTTAGCAAAAATCTTACATAGGACATGTTGTGAACTTCACATGACGTCACATTAGGAGACGTAATATCAGGTTGTCCCGCTACTGGTGAGCTAAATTTTACCACTTGGTTAAGGTAGTGATAACCAGATCACTCTATTGTAAGGTTTATCTTCCTCTTTATAATTAGCACATGATCTCCAGGCTGATACTTTGAGACCCAATGAATAATCCAACAACCTTTCAACCACTGTTAGCACCCAATAATGATCCTTACCTATTCCATTTATTACATCAAGGGCTGCAAAGAAAGGGTATCTATTATTTTTATTCTTACATTCTATATTTGTTATGGCATTCTTTTTTGTTCTGTATTAAATACATCAATATTCCTTTTGATGCTAAAATTGGCTCAAAGTTGACCAGTGGCCGATTCTTAATGTCCTTTGAGGTGACTCTTTAGTCTTTGAACACTTCCTTACATACAGGATCCCAGGCTTTCCTTGTACCTTTTTTGTGCCAGATCTGAAATCAGCCGTTTTTTCAAGAGCACTAAAACTGCTTTTTTAGTTAAGAGTAGAATTTAAAAACCAAAGTCTAGGTATAAATGTACTCACTGCTATTGTTTACCATTGTGGATTGGTCGTTTCAGTGGATGGAACCAGGGGGTACCTTTTTTTTTTTAATCATATTGATACTTCCAATTCAAATCCAGCACTACAGGGTTTTTCCTCATCTTCCTTTGGTATATATATATATATATCTATCTCCCTTCTCCCACAGTAAAACCCTGGTTCCTAGTGTCTGTCATATTCATATGCTGTATCCTATAATACACAAAAAAATAATTACTACACCAATAGCGTAGCAACTAACTACCTACTAAAGGTCAAGATTTCTTTGCGGTTTTCTGCTTAGAATCATTCCACAGAGTTTTATTTTCAAACTCTTAAAATAATTGTTTTCTGGGTGATTATGATTTAAATGGTGTGATAAAAGATCAATAGGAGTTTTGCTAGGTGTGGATGGATCCTTGTGAATTTCAGATGGAGGGAATATCTTTATTCACTAGGAGGGGCACCTGGGTGGCTCAGTTGGTTAAGCGTTTGCCTTTGGCTCAGGTCATGATCCTAGTGTCCTGGGACTGAGCCCCATATCAGGCTCCCTGCTAAGCGAGGAGGGGCTCTGTTTTTCCCTCTCCTTCTGCCCCGCCCCCTCCACTCATGCTCTCTCTCTCTCTCAAATAAATAAATAAAATCTTAAAAAAAAATAGAGACTGCCTTATGAAAGGACTTAGCAAATTAATAAGAAATGGTGAGTTTCTGCACAGCTGAAACTGGTGGGAGGTAGCAGAAGATGATACTAGATACATAATCTAGTTATATGGTTATTCTTGTGTATTGTAAACATTACCTGGCAGTGAATGGTTTTCTGTAAGCGTGATCTTAACACTGCTTGTTCTGTGTCAAATATAAGATGTTAGTGTATGATGATTCTGGTGCTAGCCAAAGTACCAAGAATCTGAAAATAGGTGCATTTTTTAAATTCCAGTGTAGACGTGTGTTGCTTTTAAAAGGTGGAACTTAATCCCAGAAATTAAGTTCTACTTTCTTGCTCATAAATGGTTTGTAGAAGAACTACACTGAAATTTATCTTGAGGACAGGGATTAAATATTTAAATGTTTGTAAGTATGCTGTTTTTGAAGTATATAAATATTTATTTTATTTTTTGAAAGATTTTATTATTTGAGAGAGAGAGAGTGAGCATGAGGAGGGGGAGGGGCAGAGAGAGAGGGAGAAGCAGACTCCCCGTTGAACAGGGAGCCCAGGACCCCAGGATCACAACCTAAACCAAAGGCAGATGCTTAACCAACTGAGCCACCCAGGCTCCCCGAAGTATATATATATATATTTTAAATAAACATTTTTTAGAGCAGTTTTAGGTTCGAAGCAAAATTAAAGAGAGAGTACAGAGATTTTCCTTATCTCTTCTGCCCCCACACATGCACAGCCTCCTGGACTGGCACCACAGTGGTACATTTATTGCTGTTGATGTACATTGACATATTATTATCACCCAAAGTCCATAATCCATTCCCAGTATTACCGTTGTAGTATCATACAGAATAGTTTCACTGCCCTGAAAATCTGTGCTCTGCCTCTTCATCCCTCCTTCCCTCCCTCTCAGCAACCACTGACCTACTGTCTCTATAGTTTTGTTTTTTCCAGAATGTCATGGCCCCTGGTCTGATTTGTGTTGGTTGGCTCTTGACCAAGTTCTGCTTTAACATTTCCAGTCTACTGTTAATCTGTTATTTCTGTCTTGTCCACATATAGCATTGGTTGGTAACATTAAACAGCAAAGCTTCCAGAAAAACTCATGAATGTTTTACATTACATACTCCTGGAGCTCATTTTGAAGATAGTTTGTTTAGAAAGATGATTTTTGTAGTGTTGTGTTAGGAAATTTACAAGAGGGAAGCAGAGGCTACATTGGAGACCAAAGAATTTAGCTTGTAATTTTGACAGTTATTTGAGACTACAGGGTTGTGGTTTTTTGTTTGTTTGTTTTTTGCGTTTTTTTTTTCCATTTTTTTTAAGCCATGTTTTAGGAAAATTCATCACAGCAGCAGCAATGTATAGGTTGTGTTTTGTTTCTTTTGTTTCTTTTTTTTGGAGAAGCCAGAGACGGGAGACTTAGAAGATTAATTAGATTTACACTTATCGGACTACTTGGTGTGAGGTGTTGAGATTTATGAGGATTAGCAGGGTTTCAGGATTAGACTAGAAAGAAAATAATGGATGTGAGAGATATTTCAAAATATTTAGTACCAAGCGTTGGACGAGAGGGAGAGAAAGAGGGATAACATTTAAATGAGGTGACCAGTGCATAATAGATCCGTGAATACACATAGGAAGGCCTCAAACAAGGAAGTTAATTTAGAGGAAAATGAATTTCAGGTAGAAGAAGATAGAATATGCCAGTTGAGTTTGAAGAATACTATTCAAGAGACAAGAGAGAACTAGAGATGTAAATCTTGGAAGTCATGTGCTGAGAAGTAATTGCTGAGACTGAGAATAGATAGGCTCTCCAGTAAAGGGCATCTAATAGAGCAAGAACAGCTTGCTAACACGGTCTTGGCATACAGTCCCATTTAGGGAATAGCAATAGGAGATAGAACCAAACACGGCAAAGAGACAGGTGCCTAAGTGTTGGAAGAGCACCAAGAAAAAACAAAGTGTTAGAAGTGAAGCAGAAAGTTTCAGGAAGTACATCTATCTGTACCATTAAATGCAGGAGAGGTTAAGTAGAAGGAAGACTGAAACATGACTTGTTCTTATATAGTCAGGGTGCTACTTGTAAAATAATTTTTGAAGGTACTTTTCTCCTAAGTTTATCTTTCTGAATTTCCTCTTAATAATTTTTCTGATTATAAAAAAGTTATAATTACTCATTATAGAAAATTTGGAAAATATAAAAAAGAACAAAGAAGAAATTTAGATTTTTCAGTAATCTCACTACTGAGAGAGGTATGCTCTGAGTGTTTTGTTGCCTGATTCTTTTTTCAATACATGGAGGTCCCTCCTTTCATTTATTCACTTACTTTACCATGAACATTTTTTTCTTTAACATCAAATAATCTGAGAAGGATCTTTAATGCCTATTTAATATTGTATCATAATATCATGGTCTATTTAACTGCTCTCTTACTTTTGAATATTTAGACTTTTTAATTCTGTTTTTGTTTCCACCATTTATATGATTATTTTTGTGCCCTGACAAATCAAATCACTGATAACCAAGTTCCTGTGATATTCTAACTTTTCATCTCCTTTTTTGTTTTTATGAGTGTTTTAATGAGTTGGTTGGGTCAAGTATCAGGTTTACTAGCTGGCTGCCATATTAGCTATATTTTTCCTAACAGATTTTTCTACAGTGTAGTGAGAGTCATAGTAGTCAGTAACCTAGACCGAAAAATAAGGAGC